AGCACTAGTCTAGCACACAACGTTGAATGTTTTTTTTAGAATGTTTTCAGTAGTCCAATGCTGGTGGAGCGTTCATGTCCAACAATTTGTATTGTTAATATTGCATAGTTGCTTCGGGTAGAAATACTGAAAACACAATCCTCTTGTCTGTTGGTTATTCAGCTGGCTATGGTGAGAGAAGATATGGAATATCCACCTAATATGCACTATAATGTGTAACAGCCTACATACACATGCTGTTCACCTGTAACAGGCCATGGTTTCACTTCAAAGCTAAAAGTAAAAGCATACTAATGCTTCTACCAAAGCCAAACACAACTGCTCACAATGCAGGCAACCAAAATGAAAAAAGAAACTGCACATACTTTGCAGATAATAGACGAATAGAACAGCCCAACTTCACATGCTGTCTACTTGTGCAAAGGCCATGGGTTTATTCTTTGTACCTAGCAGGTCGGTTGATCTTTCTGCAAGTACGAGTGAACACAGCAGGTGAATCTGGTGGTGCTGCAGGGGTGTTGACAGTGGGAGACGCTGTGTTGTTGACTGGAATGTTGATTGGAGTGTTGACTGTAGTGTTGACCGGAGTCGGAGTTTTGTCTGCAACTGGAGATTCTGTGTTTTTTGGTAGTTGCATTTCTCGCTGTGGCGAGTTCCTGATGTTGACCCTGTTTCTTCTCAGTGTTCTTCCTGTTGGGGTTTCTACGATGTAGGATCTTGGTTCCTGACACTTCTCCTTGATCACTGCTTCTTTCCACTTACTTGAGGGTTGATCTTGGAATCTGACATGCTGGCCTGGAGTCAGTGGTGGTAAGTCTTTGGCCTTGGTGTCATGGTAGGATTTCTGAGTGTCCTGACGGTGTTGTAGTTATTCACGAAAATGATCATCGGTTGGATTTCCGGAGTGTCGAGTGGGGAGATTTCACGAGGTTTTCTTCCAGTGATCAGCTCTGAGGGACTTGGGATTTTGGAGGAGATTGGGGTTGTGTGAGGGCATAAGAGAGTACGGTCAGGGTCATTACCGTCTTGCTTTGCCTTGATGAGAGCTTGTTTTACTGTCTGCACCTGTCTTTCGATGAAACCATTTGACTTGGGGTAGACGGGGGAAGAAGTGACGCGATCAAAACACCAGTCCTTGGCAAATTTTGAAATCGTTTTGCCGAAAACGGGACCGTTGTCCGATTTGAGGGATTTGGGGATTCCATGTTCAGCAAATATCTGCTTCATCATTGCGATGGCGATCTTGCAGGTTATAGTCGTTTGGGAGTTTCCTGCAGACGAAAAACTTGCTGAAATAATCAGTGACGAGGATGTGTTGGGTGTTGTCTAATGAAAAGAATTCTACACCAAAGACTTCCCACGGCTGCATAGGAATCTCATGGGGGTTGAATGTTTCCGGCACTAGGTTCTTTTGGTGCTCCTGGCAGATGGGGCATTGAGATGTCAGCTTCTCGATGTCCCTTGAAATGCCCTGCCAGTACACAGAGGCGCGAGCCCTTAATCTGGTCTTTTCCACCCCTTGATGTGCTGCGTGCAGTTGTCTCATTGTCTCTTGTTGGAGGCTCTGCAGGATGACCACACGATCACCTTTGACTTTGAGTGTGATTCCGTCCTCCACAGAAAGTCCGTCTCGGAGCGACCAAAAACTGAATGGTAGTCTGGCGAAGCAGTATCCGCCATATGGAGTCACCAAGAGCAGGCTTTCTTCGTCAAGCTGAACTGACCAGTAGCAACTCTTGGCGTCCAATTTGGAGAAGTAGCGACTTCCACAGAACTGTGCGTCAGCTCTTCAATGGTCGGAATTTTGTGGTGTGGCCTTTTCAGTGCAAGATTCAGGTGACGTGGATCTAAGCAGATTCGAAGCTTCTCTGACTTCTTCTTGGAGAAGGCGAGGCTTGATACCTAATCTGTAGGCACTGTTACCTTTTTCTGATTACACCACTTCCTACCATGCTGTCAAGCTCTTCCTTGATCGCGTCTCAAAGAGCAATCAGAGTTTTCCTGGGTGTGTCAATGTGTGGCGGGACGTCGGGATCCACCACCAGCTTGACGGGGTTAGGCATCTTACCAATTCTGTTGAACTGTTCAGGGTGGTCCTTCATCAGGTCCTGGACGCAAATAATCTTGTCCTTGGTAGATGGGGATGACGTTGAAATGCTGCAGTGCAGTGTCACTGCTACTGCTTTCAATTTTTCGTATGAAGGCAGTCCAAAGATTGCAGGTCCTTCTACGTCTACGATGTAGAATCCTGTTTCCTGCCACTCGCCTCTGTAGCGGCAGGGAAAAGCTGTCTTGCCAAGGCAGGGAATGTCTGTGCCGTTGTAGGCAGTCAGCCTTGTGCTGCATTTCTCTCTTAAGATCTGTTTGGCCGGTATCCCCTTCGTTGTCAGCTGCTCGGGGAACATGTCCCTAAACATGCGCAGGGGCAGCGAGTTCCCCTGTGCGACTGTGTCGACCTTGACAATGATGTTGTGTTGCCCAGCTCTGTTTGGAAGTAGTATTTTGAGCTTGACGAATGCTCCGTCGCGTTGCTGGGGCAATGAATAAACAGAAGAGATGGTGACTGGGCTGAATGTTAGGTCGTCAAAGTTCTCGTCGATTTCAGCCTGCATCGCCTTGATTTTTGCCTCTAGCGGCTTCTGCTGATGTCCTCCACCTCGGCTGCCTGATCCGCCATGTCGTTGCCCGTGTCCGCGTGAAGGGATGCGTGAAGACTGGTGCGGCCCAGAACGGCAAACTTTGGCAAAATGGTTAGTTTTGCCGCAAGTATGGCAGGTAATACCATGGGTTGGGCATTCCCGTGGTTTGTGCTGCCCGTCGCAGTTTCTGCAAGGAGGACGAGTGCTGGACTTGATGGCGCTGGTGCTGGTAGAGTCTGCCATTGTTAGTAGCTGCTGTACGTGTGAGGCAGTGGCCTCGAACGTGCCACCCATCTTCATTTTATTACATCGGCCAATTTGACACTCTTTTGCTGTTCGAGAAGTTTCCTTTGGAAGTCTCCGATGGGTGTGCTTGAAATGATTAATTCGATCAGTCTCTCTTCCAGTTCCACCACACTGTCAAAAGAACACTTTTCTGTGCCTGAAGCTGCGCCCTTGTCACATAACCGTCTAGTGACTCTGATTTGACCTGCCTCATGCTCATGAGTTTGAGTCTACTCACACGAAATTGTTCAGCCGGCTCGATTTGTTCGCCCAGTTTTTGGAATATATAATAATAGCTGGGTCTTTCTTTTCGGCGTCTGTGAGGGTCATTAAACATCCGAAGGCCTTTCTCGCCAATTTGGAGGAGTATGTGGGCGACCTGGTCGTCCTTGTGTATATCTTCTTTGTGGCAAAATATTCAGAAAGAGACAGAGAGAGAGAGAAGAGTAGAAAAGATCTTGCAAGAACTTCCAGGCAAAACAAAATGGCGACCTGCCTAGTTCGGCTCGATTCGAAAAGTGAAATAGATCTAGAAATCTAGATATATCTAGATATCTAACCATAGTATAGCATGTTTGTAGACGATCAAATTAGCTTACTATAGTCTAGAGCTATAATAAAATAATGTCATTTTTTCTTTGCTTTTACTTTTATTTAGGCCACCTCTATTCTCACCCGGAGTGAGAATAGTGCAGGCGAGTCTTGTGGCTATTCTCACCCGGTGCGCGTTCACCAAATTTTGCGTCAACCCTAAACCACAGAATTCTACACTGTGATAACAGAAAAATTGTAGAATTCTATGCCGTGAACAAACGTTCCATTACAACTGTAGCCTACTAAAAGCGTACAATTTTGTCTGTGGGCAGTGGAGAGAGAGAGAGAAAGAGAGAGAGGAGTAGCGCGAGAATTTCCGGGCAAAACAAAATGACGACCCGCGTAGTTCGGCTCGATTCGAAAAGTTAAATAGCTGTAGCATCTTTGTAGACAACCAAATTAATTTACTTTTGTGTTTTAACATCATTTTTTAACTTTGTTTTGGTCAATTTGATCGTCCACACCGATAGACAGTATTCAGAAAGAGACAGAGAGAGAGAGAAGAGGGGAGGAGTTGATCTTGCGAGAACTTCCGGGCGGGTGAGAATAGCCACTTTCTTTATTTAAATTTTGTCAATTTGATCATCCACACCTAAAGACAGTACAATTCCAAAATTAGGAAAAACAGGTCTTGTCTCACATCGGGTGAGCTGGCAAGCCTCACCCGGGGTGAGACTACGATCGTATTTTTATTCTCACCCCGGGGGAGGATAGCCACTTCCAAATTATTTGTTCCCAACCACATGGGTAAGCCACCAAGGGCCTAGGTGATTTTATCGGCCTGCGAGATGTCAGGAGGGAGTCCTTGCGGCGCTTTTTCGGTAGTTCCCACCCCGCAATTGTTATTCACAGGTTTAGGCCCCAAGAGTAGGGGGGTTTCTTCAGGGGGGGCTTGCCCCCTGACCTAATACTAGATTAGAAATATAGATTTAATATAAGGCAGATAAGGCATAATAAGGTGGAGGGGCCCCTGAATTTTACCACAATTTAATGTTTTGCGGTTGTTAGGTTTGATATCTTAGCTCGCTGCGAATCAAATGTATCTAGATTCTAGATCTAGATCTATAATCTAGATCTAGATCTAGATTCTAGATGTAGATCTAGATTCTAGATGTAGAAATCTAGATCTAGATCTAGATCTAGATGTAGATCTAGATATCTAGATCTAGATTCTAGATAGATCTCCGAAAAAGCACCGTCCTTGCCAACACCAGGGTGAAAGCTATTCTCACGACACGAGACATGGGTTATAAATTCTCACCAGGTGGACCTTGCTAAAAACATGTAGGCCTAGCCTAGATCCAGATCTATTGCAAGTTGATAAATTTTACATTCATGCTAGGGTAGAAGCACACACGTGTCCGAATACAAATGAGCTTAGATCTATACTTATTAAACACGAATGGCCACCTTTTTAGACTTTTTTAAATTCATGCAAAAAAACTAAAACACTCAAAACAGAAACAACACCTCGGTCCTTACCATCATAAGTTCTTCAGGCTCATCAAGAAATACATCAAGAATCTACACTACATTACAGGCAACCAGGAAATCTTTTGGTCAGCTTTCTCCAATTTCAAACCCAGCTTCACCCACGCACAAATACACGTGAAATGAATAGGTCTACGCCCTACCGCGAGTAACCACAATAATAACAATGAATTGCATTGGCGCGCCTGACAGACTTTCTTTCACGTGACTCTCACATGATGATCCGGTGTAGATCTAGTTTTTCTACCTCAAAAATTACAATTTTGTTTTAACGGTGTCGCACTGATTTCTGAAATCCCACGACATCCATTATAATCTAAATAAATAACTAGCAAAAGGCCACATCGCAGATCGCAATAAATGTAAACTGGTGTAGGTTTAGCGTCCCTGTAAATACTATTAGGTTATTTAAGAGGCATGACTTCTGAGTTTAACGCTCATCTCCGAAAGGACCGAACCAAATAGGAAATTCGTGTACAGTGGCTTACGATTAGGCCTACATCGTTGGACCGAGCTGAAACTCGAACACGTCGAAGAGAGTTTTGAAACATTGAAAAGTACACGTAGTATGCTAGCTTCATGATAACAACTGCATGTAATTTGTAATTCATAAATTGGGCTCTATTTACACGGGTGATTGCTGTTGGAGGGCGCCCTGGTGCTCTTGGTAGGTCCTAGACCTACTCCCACATCTTTTCTTTCTGTCTCGTGTTGTTTCTGTTGGTCTATTTTCTCACTTTTCCTTGACACCAGATTCTAATTGGCCTCAGTTTTGTCGACGTGCTACTCCTTACTCAACAACAACGTATACATGTACAATAAAACCCTGATAAGACCAACTTTACGGACCAAAGAAATTCTTGATGTTAGGGCGTAAACACAGTGCAACAGTTTTCGACACGCTAACGTCTCGGATTGATATCAGCTCTTGGCTTCGGCGAACTTGCTATACCATATACGACTACTGGTGATATCAGCTCTTGGCTTCGGCGAACTTGCTATACCATATACGACTACTGGTGACACGAGAATAGATCTACCTCTTTGTCTCAATGTTGCCGACACGGTGCATCTGTCTTAATTACTAAAGCCCCGGTTGCACGCAAGGACAAATTGTATTAGATTCGCCGTATGCCAGGACTGTCCATGTTATTGAACTTTATAGTCTGTTATAAAGTTCCAGTCCATGGTCCTGTTTTCTATCAATTGGGGAGATTCCTCGTCATATAAAGCCATCACGTCTTTTTGCGACGACAGCAGTTTGTTTGCTCAGAAAAAGGGACTTAATTAATACATTCGGTCAAAAGACTATTTTTTTAAGCGAAATATTTTCATCCACACAAACGTGGTGGTGGTTGGGGGGAGGGGGAGGGGGAGGGGGCTTTCATGTTCTAAAGGCACAGTGTTCGCCTCTCATTCAATAGGTCCAGGGTTCGAAACTTAATAGCGACGGAAAATGTTTCTTCTCTAAGAATTTCTCCTTCCACCCCCTTTCCTGTTCTCCAGCCATGTTCTGTCACCTGCTTTCCTCTCTACTTTCTTTCCTCCACCTACACCCCCCCCCCACCCCGGCTCTCGGGGTCCTCCTTCTTTTACTTTACTCCTGGCTCTTTCTACGTGTTTTATTGCTCCTCCTGGCTCCTTAATTCTTACTACTGCTGCACAAGGAGCTTAAAATAAAAGCGCTGGTGCACTGTTTCCTACTGGGAGCTCCGAGAGCGCGTTTGGTTACCTTTAACCTCCTTGCTGCTGCCTTTACTTTCACTTTCAGCCACAATCTCGATTTTAGGGTAGGTAAGATCGAACACATTGTCTTGTCGGATAATGGCAAAAAAAGGGTGCCCATTACGGATGAAATCGGCGAGTCGGCCATACTCACTGACTCAAACAAAAACAAACACGTTTGTTTTCAGGCGACCGAGTGCGGCAATCGCCCGACCCGCCGTAATGGGCACTCCGTAAACCATTCTCGGAGGTCCCGCATGTGCAACTTGCGCAGGCTAAAGATCTCTTGGTGGTCCTAAAATCGATAAGAGTAGGCTTCAGCCGCCACCCGGGCGGTAGTAAAGAATCTTTGCACTGTGTCCTCGGTGCTGGGCTATAATAAATCAAGAGGCCAATGAGCACCAGGCGAGAATAAGGAACGAAGGGGGTTTTAATAAAAATTAGTCACCTTCAGCGGCGGTGGGTGGACCAAAATTTGGGTGGGGCTAAGGTCTCTTCCACTTCTTTACCATCAAATAGTAAGCAATTAGAACAAAATAGTGATGATTTTTTCAATACTCACGACGAGCCACGGCATTTTGAGAACAATTCAAATGAGAAGAGTCACCTTTGTCTTCCATCTCCTTGTTCTACATTCAATTCTTCTGGGTGGTGGGGACGAAGCCGAGTCACCTTGAAATTTCTCTAATTAATTTTCATCTGACGAAAAAGTTGCCTCAAAAGTGGTTTGAAGTAATTAATAACTGTTAAATCTCAGCGGCGCACACACACATATACAGCACTCCAAACGTATACCTCCAATGAGCTGGATTGGGTCGTGTAGTCGCGGAAAGTAGAACGCCGAACAAAGGTCAAATGAGCGCATAGGTAACTGTGTCACTGGGGGAAAGTGTGTCGTAAACAAAACTTTCACCCCATTGTCAGGGCTAGGAGAGCGTGAGCCCTCTGTGCAGTGTTATTTTTTTCAAGTCTTCTACCTTTTTACAAGAGGGGTTTCATCAGAGAGTTTACAGTAATACTAGAGAGACGGCACTTCGCCCGGATGCGCGCATCTGGGTCACCAGCTGATCGTGGAGAAACACGCGGTAAACAAAACAAACTGCGTCCATTGTTCAAGGCATTTGCCTTGATCGCAGACAAGCACGGCTCGGTTAGCACGAAGTGTCAATGGTGTTCTACTATAAACTGCACCTATTAAAATAAAAATCTGAGTTTCTTTCGATTTCCAAAGGATGACGAATATTATTTTTTTGATGAATAG